ATTCTTCTATACCCTTGAAGAAAAATGAAGGTGAATCTGTCTCTCAATTGAAATATTCCCAAATGATTGGATCCCTTTTATACATATCAAACCGGACTAGACCCGATATAGCTTATGCTGTAGGGAGATTGAGTCGGTATACCAGTAACCCTAACCCAGATCATTGGTCTGCCTTAGAAAGAGTATTTAAATACTTAAAAGGGACAGTTGACTATTGCTTAACTTACACTGGATACCCTGATGCCATTGAAGGGTATAGTGACGCCAATTGGGTCACAGATTCCAACAGTGTAAAGTCAACATCTGGGTATGTATTTCTTTTTGGTGGTGCTGCTGTATCCTGGAAATCATGTAAGCAAACAGTAATTGCCAGGAGCACCATGGAATCTGAATTGATTGCACTTGATACTACTTGCTCAGAAGCCGAATGGTTAAAAGATCTTATCTCTGAACTTCCTTTGGTCCCTAAACCTTTTCCTCCAATTTCCATTCATTCTGATTCTAGATCTACCATAGAGCTTCTAAAGCAAGTACATGTAAATAAAAAACTCAACAGACATATTCAAATAAGATATAAGTCTGTACAACGCCTGTTAGGCAAAGTTGTGATCTTGGATTTTGTAAAGTCTGAGAAAAATATTGCTGACCCTTTGACTAAGGGATTATCCAGGAGTGTAGTCCTGGATTCATCGAGGGAGATGGGGTTAAGTCCATTAAAGAGGTCACTGACAGTGGGAACCCAACCCTTATTTGGAGACGTTGTCCCAATGTCGGTTCAATGTGGTAGAAACAAGCTGGACTAGTGATACTCGGGTGGAGCATCGACCCATATATATATTCATATATCATTATGTAGTGTGAGCTACTACCCCTTCTCTATGATGACGATGCTCCTATGATACAGCTGGTTAGGCTGAGTTTTACTCTTAATAAGTCCAACGCATGTATTATTGGGGGGTATTAAATAAACAGCTGTAGTACCCTTTGAGGACTTACCTACGTGAGAGGAATCGTGATGGCCGCGGTTGGGGGGGGCTGGACTAAACTAACCCCTAGAAACTCTCATGAGTCGGTTATTGTGAGCATGGCCTTTTTAACGCTCAACCCGCTTTGCTCAATAGATGAAGTGTATTGTGTGTGTTTTTGTCAATACCTGATTCAAGGGCCCTAATTCAAGGCTTAGTCCATTATGTCCCTCAGGTGGCGACAAACTCACTAAGGAAAGGTTCAAAGCCGGAAGCTACCTTTCCCGAATTCACGATACAAAAGGTTGCCCAACCTATATATATATATATATATATATATGTTTTACTAATTGTTTTGTCTATATTTCCTTTTTCACGATACAAAAGTTGGTTATTACACCTAATTCTTACATTTCATTAAACAAGTTTATATTTTTGTTTTGCTCCGTGATTTATATTGATTCAAAGTTGACAATGAATAATATATATTTGTATTTTCCGTGATCGATCTCTAGTAAAGCTAACGAAGGTAAATTTGTTATTAATGCAAAGGACAGCGAAATGTGCTAAACATGCATATTGTAAAGAATGTTATGCTACTTACGTTGGTTTCAAACTTGCTAGTATTATGTTCATTTCCCCCTTATTTTCTCATATCTTTTATTCTCTCTTTTTTTCCTCAACTTTTTTACACTTTTACCATCAACATTTTGTATTATATGTTGTGTTGTTTCTTGTTACTTTATTGCAACCTAAATTTCTTCTTTTATTTCTTAAATATATATGTTTGGAGTTAAACTTGTACCAAGAGAAGACGTCATTAGTATAAAAAGAAAGAACATGCATGTCTAGAAGAGAGAAGTAGTTATCGTGCTAGGGGAGAAAATTTGCACATGGAAGTATATTTTTCTGCAAACACTTGGTTAAAAATCCTAGGCAATGATTTCAATATATATAACATATGTTTTTGTTGCAAGCAAGTCTTTTAGTAGAAATTTGAGAGCACGATTTAAACGAGTGTCTATTTGTTACGAGTTGTATTTCTTATATGACTCTTCTAATGTTTTGCTGAGGATTATTCATCATACATTTCTTGCGTAGAGAACGAATTAGCATGATTGGAGGAATTATAAAGGAGCCAACAAGTAAAATATCAAAATAACATTAATAGAAAACATACCTCCTTTAAAATATAGATTCAGCCTTTATATAGATATAAATCTAAACGAGACATTAGAGGAAATTAATATAGTTAAATATATACTGAAAATAATAAAATCAATGTTCTAAAACGCAATCAAGTTGTTCTTTCGTTAATGTTTGGGATTGGTACATTAATGTGAAACTCTACATATGATTATAATCACAAACGTCGTGGTATTTGTTTTGATATGAAAAAGGTTAGATCCGCGCAGAAGTCAAAGATCTAAAAGTTGTTTACTCTCAAAAATCCATAATATGAGGTAGACTGTTGTTAAGCTTGTAACGATATTATCAATTGTAAATGCAAGGCATGCCCAAAACAAGTATGTACAAGTAGTTGAAGGTGCAAATTAATTAACTTAAAAAAACATAGTTTAATTGCTTATTAAATGCAATGAATTCATTCGTCCAAATGTTTTCCTTACTAATATATTTATTCACCTTGTTAATCAAATAATCCAGCATGAAACTTATTAAGGAATTGCAAGATCTTAATTTGTCCACAGGATCCATATTGTATGGGAGAATATACTTATCGGATGGCTAGATGAATATTTATTTACTAGGGAAAATTGTGTCTAGACCTCAAATTAAAAACCTTCATGTTGTTAAGCTCATTGACTTTTTGGCCCCTTGAACCAAGGTCTCATGTGAAATGCCTTTTTTCGAGCATTTATCCCCAAAATACCCTCACCCTCAACCTCCTCATCTCTTTTGTTTTTATGACCCGTGAATTATTTTCCTCCTCCTCATTCTCCTAAATGATTATCGTTGTCACCACCACCTCCAACATTGTGTCATCCTTCTTGTTGATGATCTTGGTCATCGATGTTTGGCTTAGAAGCCTGCTAAAACCAGTCCTTGCTCTCCTCTCTAGCGCACCACCAAGAACACAAAGGGAGAGCTTGCCACAGATCTGCTCCTAAATCACTCACAGAGGTGAAGAGATCGCACAAAGGGGTGAGAGCACAAAGCTCACAGAAGAGAGGGGGATTGCACAAAGCTAACATGGGAGGGGAGAGGATTGCACAGAGCAGAGGAGCACCAAGCTCAGTTTTCTCTTCACCGTCTCCTCCTTCTCTCCCAAGCTACTACCAACCCTTCAACCTAAATAGAAGGGGTCAGCCGACATGGGAGAGAAGCCTAGGGTTTCGAATGGTATGAGCCAACCTATAAGGATGGGAGATAGGACTCACAGCGGCTGCAGAACAGGACACGAGAATGGGGAAGGACCTGCCGACATAGGGCTTAGTACCATCGGGTAGGAGAGGTCGAAGAGAGGGCAAGGGCAGATATGTGTAGGGATCTAGGCCTCTTGGTAATGGGCCAGTTTTTGGGCCAACAAATAGCAACACTTCTCTTTCTTCTTATCTTTTTCAACTACTATATTTTTGGCCGTCACTACAACATCTTCGTCGTTTTCATATTTTCTCAACTCTCTCTCATCTTCCTTCTCCCACCATCACCACCACTGCATCACTCAAAATCGTCTCTTTTGACTAATATTATCATCTTTTAAGGTCACACAAAAGTTAATACTTAATAGGTAAAGTTAACATATAAGACATACGGTTACAATCTAACAATTAAAAGTAATACTTGAGGTCTAAAGTTAATATCTAACAATTTTAAAACTTTTATATTAATCCTAAAAGTTAGATGTTAAATTTATACCTCATATGTTAACATTAGACCTTACATATTAACTTTCATTGTTAGATGTTAACTTTAAATCTCACTGTTAACTTTAGACCTCATATCAATCCTAATTGTTACACGTTAACTGTAAGGTTTAGATGTTAATTTTAAATGTTAAGTATTAATTTCGGTGTGACATTAGAAAACAGTTACTTTATCCAACAAATACGTCTTTAAGAGACGAGGCATATGAATTTATAGGAGTTGCGACAACGATCATGAAAGAACGAGAAAATAGAAACAGAGGAAGAAGAGAAGGGTGAAAAAAAAATAGAAGAGGAGTGAGGGGAAGAAAGGTGACTGGAGATAATTTAGAGGAGAAAAGACGAAGGTGGATGAACGTAGGAGGAACGATGGGGGAAGAAGAAAAAAAGGGGCAATGATGGAGTAAGGGTGGAGGAAAGACGAGGAGAATAAAGTTGGATGCAGAAGTGAAGATGAAGGATGTTGAGCGAAAAAAATAGGAGACATGAAGTGGAATGGAGGAGGATGATGGTAGGGGAGAAGAAAGGATGAGAGGAGGTGGAGTGGAGAAAGAGAGAGAGAGAGTACAAGAAGAGGAATGAGAAGAGGAGAAAGACGATAAGGGGTATTTTAGGGACTTGAGATAAATATGGGTTGGGAAGGGGTCTTTTCACACGAGAACTTGGGTCACGGGCCCAAAACACAAGGCAGAAAGGTCAAGGACTAAATCACACGAGGGTTCTTAATTTGGGGCTTAGACAAAATTTTCCTATTTATTATCATAACTATCTAGAATCTAAAAATTCAGCGAATAATATTTTTATACTTGAATAATTTAGCGATTGATATTTTACAATCTAGCGAATAATATTTTACACTTGAAATCCATTATCAAAGCCCCAAACGAAAGCAGCAGTACGAAGCGCCATCAGGCCCACATCCCAGGCCGGCAGGCCCTAACCCAACCGAGCGGCTGAACTACAAAGTGGGCTCCACTTTCTTACCTTTTAGGCGTTAAAAGAGTCCTTTGGTCCCTTTTGTCTGTCCCTTTTATCTGCTCTGACAAGATTTAAGGCGGGTTTCAACTTCAATTTCGAAAATTAAATACTAAAACGAGCCTGCTGTCTTCTTCGGGATTCGTAAAAAAACTCTCCCCTTTTCTAGAAACCCTAAAAATGAAATTTTGAAAACTTTAAAAAATTTCAAAAAGAGACAACGCGGAAAAAAGCCAGGGATAAAAAGAGGAGACAGAGTATCAGAAGAGAGTGAAGAGCCAAAGATCCTCTCTCTCTCTCTCTTGTTTCTCTCTCTCCTAGGGTCTTAAGAAATGCCGGCGAGGTGTCGAATTGGTGGCGGTCTTGGCCGCCATGGGTTCTTCTCGAGGAGGAGAAGGAAGCGGAGGTGAGCGGATCGATCTTTATTTCTTTATTTTTTTATTTATTTTTAATTTGACTGGTCTTGTTGTGTGGGCGGAGAATCATTTGTTTTGGCGCTATTTTTTCTAACGTGAGATGCGTAATCTTTCTATTTGTTTGGTTGGATGAGAATCTATTGGATTGAATCTTAAAAACTTGATAATGTTCTTCTTTTGTACTGTACCCAACTGATTATTATTGGGAAATTTGTATTTTTTCCAAATATTTTATATTGTTGCGATGGGTAAAGCGAACCAGGATGACATAATTTATGCCCTCACGAGAATTTGAGAATGGAGTGGAGAGAATTGATGCCCTATGAACTGACGGGGGCAAGAATTGAGAAATTGGGTCTAGTTAAAGTTTTGGCATTGAGCGTGATGAGGAAATACAGGAGATGGGAACATAGGATTAATTTCGGTGATTTTTGGTTAAGTTTTTGATATATTGCAAGCAGAAAATGAAAATGCTGTTATTGTGGTATTCGAAGAAGTATGCACTTGCTTCTAAGGGAGTCTTTAGTACTAGCCGATAAGTTTTCAGTCTTAACAGAGGTTATATTAGGCGATAATTGTGAAAGATAAAAGAATTTCTAGGGAAGGAGCATGGAAGAAATGAAAGTTATTGTGAATAATAGAGGCCAATTTATGATAAAAAAGATCAAGGTCTAACTTTGTTTTGATTTGTCTCTCCTTTATGTAGCCTTATTTAGTGTGATATAGTGTATGTTATAGTAGAAGCGGACGTGGACATCGTGAGATTCAATAACTTAATTATTTCTTCTCTAAGACCCTAACATAACAAAATGATTGAAAGAGGAAAAGTATTGAAGAACACAGAAGTGGACAAGGAATTAGTCATTACCCCTTCTCCAAATCCTTAAGACTATACAATAAAGCATCCTAAATTCTAATAAATGATCCACATCAGTTGTCGCGATTATTCCCTCATGAACCATAGTTAATTAGCTGAGACTAACTTGATTTGAACATGTTACTGTTGAATAAACGGTTTCAATTCTTTGTTGAAAGCTAGTTGATTTCAAACCCATTTCTCACATAGTTAACAGGCCTCCTTACTTTTATCTTTTATTCATTTAATATCTGCTAACATGCAAGTTAAGATGAAATTATAGCTCATCCATTGTGATAGTCCACTGTCTTCAAGATTTTAGTGTAATAATTTTCCTATACCGTCGACCATACTCAGTATCTTTATAGATGGTCTATCATGTCCTTGGTGACATTTTCATTACGAGGAAATATGATTTTTTTTGGGGGTTCTGTGATTAAAAACTTTTCCTTTTGCAGTGCCAATGTATTTGTATGAGGAATTTTTTAGTCTTATATTAATATTTGAGGATATGAAAATTATAATTATTATGAATTTATGATTGTCCATTAGGATCATCTAGCGTTTGAGAAACATACATGTATCGTGTCAGAAGTTGACCTGATTTGTATCAAATCTTGACCCTCCTCTTCACACCTGTATTTTATATTCTTCAAGAGCCTTAAGGACTTACTTCATCAGTTCTTTTTGTTTAATGCACTTTTACATTGTTAAGTTCATAACGTAAAGAAAAACCAACGGTCTACAAGTTTTATTTCTCTGCTGTATCAGCATCGGTATGTAGCAATTACATTAGAAGTAGATATTACGACGCTCATACATCTTATGTTGAATATTGTAGGAGATTGCTTTTTCATTTCTACTTAATTTTGGGTGTTCCCAAAGAGTGAACTTCATTTCGGGCGAGTTCACCGAAAGAATGTTAATATAGTGGCCGCAAACAACTGGTATATTTGTTGGTTTGAATACCAGAGCGTGACAGCGTCGATGACCTTATTTGTTACAATAATTTAAGATCCCACAATTACTTTAGGAATTTGCAAGGCCTAAAGGGTTGAATTTTTATCCTCGCATTTCCTAAGACTTAAGCAGATGATAAATAAGATTTGAAGCATCCTAGAATAATACAAAATGACCACAGTATATCGTCAAAGGAGGCCTATGAGGACTTTGCTGAAGGTTTATTACCAAAAGGTATAGAACCAGGAAACTAGATTATGGTACCAAGAGGTTCAAGATACCAAAAAATTTGTATTGGTATATCTAGTTAAAAGGCTTAAAGCTTCAAGACTAAAATTTATGGCATATGCTTTAACTTTGGGACTACCAAGATATCCATGAAAATTTTCCCAAGCCCTATTTTGGTTAAAATTCAACTCAAACTAGATTGTAATTTTTCTAGTCGTTTTTTATATAGGAGGTAATTTCCATGGTAAGGCTTATATAATGTAGTTTTTAGCTTTTATGTCACATACCTTGAACAATTGAGGGGAATGTTGCAGATAAAAGGATCTCATTATTGGGTTTTCAGGTAGATATCTAAAGTGTGAATATTTATATAGGGTGAATTGGTATATTTTGTGAATAATCTGGTATCTTAATCTACACTTTACAAATCATCTTAACTTTTTATGCAATTTTTTAATTCATTAGTCACAAACTCACATGCATGCATTTTCACCTCTTTCAACCCAATGCCAAATAATTAGCGTACTTCAAATTCTTAATTTTTCATGGGTTACCCACTATTTTTTTCAAATTTCTTCTATTTTGTCTCAATAGAATTAATTGGTGTATTCTAAATTCGCAGTGCTCATGGTCTATAACCTATGATTTTCGTCCATTTTTTTTCATTTTGACCCAATGATAATACAGTTTTCTTTTCTCAAATTTCATAATTTTCGCGAGTCATAACCCACAATTTTGTCCATTTTCATCTATTGTAACCTAGTGGTAGATAATTGGTATACTTAAAATTCGCAGTTTTCATGGACTATAACCCACAAATCTTGTCTATTTCTGGTCGTTCGACCAAATAACAGTTCGGTTTTTTCCCTTCAAAATCCATGATTTTCATTAAGCTATAATCCATAATTTTGTCAATTTTCAATTCTTTCAACCAAATGGTGCATAATTGGCATATTTCAAAACTCTAATTTTCATGGAATTTGTCATGTGTTACCCACAATTTTTGTCAGTTTTCTTCTATTTCGACTCAATAGAATTAATTGGTGTATTTTACATTCACAATTTTCCTGGGCTATAATCTATAATTTTCGTCCATTTTTAATCATTTTGACCCTAATAATGATTAAGTTTTCGTTTCTCAAATTTCATGATTTTCATGAATCATAACCCACAACTTTGTCCATTTTCATCTCTTGTAACCCAGTGACAAATAATTAATAGGTAAATAATTGACATACTTCAAAATTTACAGTTTTCATAAACTATAACCCACAATTTTTGTCCATTTCCAGTCGTTCGACCAAATAACAATTTAGTTTTTTTTTCCTTGAAAATTCACAATTTTTATTGAACTATAACCCGCAGTTTTGTCAATTTTCATTTCTTTTAGCCAAATGGTGAGTAATTGGCATATTTCAAGACTCGTAATTTTCATAGACTATAATTCATGATTTTTGCCCATTTTTATTTGTTTTGACCAAATGACAATTATGTTTTTTCATCAAAATTCACATTCATGGGCTATAACATATAGTTTTGTCCAGTTTCATCTCTTTCAACCAAATGACAAATAATTGGTGCGCTTCAAAATTCAAAATTTTTATGGGTTGTAACCCGCAATTTTTTTCTGCTTTCGTTTATTTCGTCCCCCCAGTGGAATAATTGGTATACTTCAAAATTCAAAATGTTCATAGGTTATAACCCACAATTTTTGTTTATTTTCTTTTATTTCATCCTAGTGGAATTAATTGGCGTAGTTCACATTTGCAGTTTTTATGGGATATAACACATGATTTTCGTCAATTTACAATTGTTTTGACCCAATGGCGATTAATTTTTCTTTTCAAAATCCACGATTTTTATGAGCTACAATCAATACTATTTTCTATTTTCGTCTTGTTTAACCCAATGGCAAATTATTGGCGTACTTTTTATCCATTTTCAGTTGTTTCGACCAAATAGCAATTAAAGTTGTTTTCCCCCTCAAAATTCAAACTTTTCATTTGGCTATTACCCAAAATTTGTCCAGTTTCAGCTCTTTCAACCGATAATAACTTTGCCCAGTTGCAAACTAGGATGAAAAATGCAACACAGTTTGCTTAGGTTGATGGCTAATCCCCAGGACAAATAGGCAAACAAACAGATGCTTGGTTTATAGTATTGGAAGACTAAACTGTGGGGTTGTGCTATGTTCAGGTATGTGAAGAGACGAGATAACATCTACCTTCTCATTGTCATCATTATACTGCTAGCTGCTAAAATTAATTTGAAAAACACTACAGGCACACCCTCTGCCACACCTCCGGCCACACCCCCTCTCCCTCTACAGTGCAGGGGGTCCCATCTAAGATTTTTTTTAAAATCTCAGGTGGGGCCCCCTGCACTGTAAAGGGAGAGGGGATGTGGCCGGAGGTGTGGCAGAAGGTGTGCCTGTAGCGTCACCCAATTAATTTTATAGAACCTTTGTCTACAGGATTATCACTAAATGCTTGCAATTTCTTTAATGCCCACGGTACTGGATGCTTATTTATTTATTTTTTCCCTCGGAGATTCATTTAGGACTGGGTTTTAATTGTTATTGTTCATTTTCTACAGGCATGGAGACGCTGAAGAATTGAGCTCCAACAGTCGTGCATTCTTGCATTAATCCTCAAAATCCTCCTGTCCTAGTATTAACTGATATATATACGTCCACCAAGGAAGGGCATTATTCGGAGAATTGAGGGATGAAGCCATTGGTCCGGGAGCACATATATATTTTTAGCATATTTTGACCCTAAATTGTTTAGTTATTTAAATTACACCATAATATCAATATCGGTAGCTAGTCGTTGATTTAGGTTGCTAACTCTTGTATTACTACCCCGTTTTTTTGCTACTTAAATTGGCTTAGAATCTCAATGCAAAACGTTTAAAGCTTTTGCTTCTTTGGGATAGTCTTGTATTTTGGAGAACTAACATCTATTATGCAGAGCTGCAGAAGTTTTTGAGTATCAGCTTACATGAACATGAGAACAATTCTTTATAATGGGTATGCTCCAAATTTTATTTAAGGATGCTTTATCGGTTACTTACGTGGATATTATGAAACAAAAATAATGTTTCATACAAATTCTTATTTGTATGAGGTATGAAGTTAAGCAAAAAAGCTGCCTAGCACATTTTCTCCATAACCATAATCATATGATCACAATAATAATGGCCCTTTTTTTATGGAAGGGAAGGTTAAATTTCCTCCAAATTTAATTGCTCGCTCTGGAAAGCCAGGTGCCATCTCACGGAAGTACAAAGATTAGCAAGTAGAAGTGCCCTTTCAACCTGATTTCTCAATAAATAAGTAAATAAATAAAATTAAATAAAACCTTTTGCGTTCGCTGCGAAATAGAACAGGTGGAGCTTTGTGATTCTGAAGGATAACAAGTATTTAGACTGAAGCAGCCTCCAGTGTAAATTCTGCAACAATCACTCCTCATGACATTTTGGACGTGGAATTCTCAATCAATGTGCCATATTATTGGAAAATCTCTATTTTCATGAAACATTCCAGTTATGGTCCGCTAAATAATACGTCTACTTCAGTAGAATTTTTTTTTTTAAAACTCAACAAGAGAAGGAATTTATCGACATTTCCTATAAACTGCAGCTATACAGAGCATCAATTGCAAAAACTATGTTGTGTTATTCTACCAAGACCTACGAACTCCAAAACAAAATATATAAAACATACATAATCGATGAGTGTGTGGATTCTCCTCATATCCAAGAAGGAAAGAGATTTCAACTCTTACTTGGTTTCCTCTCTAATTGTGGAGGTGACCAGAAAAACCAGCAAATATATTTGATCAACTGCATTCCCTGCAGAAGTCAAAACAAAAATTGTCAGCAACAGTAAATCAGCTGGATCAATTTCCAACTTTTATCCAAGTAAAACTTCAGAAATTATTAACCAAATAATCCACCACTTTATATATTACTGGTGTATATGTAAATGACTGTACTTTGTGATTTTGAATAGTCTGCACACTGGAAAATATGATCTGCAGCACTTTGTAAAGGAGGACCCATAAAACTGTACAGCTAGATTTCTTTGAATTGCTCCTTTAATTAATTCATTCCCATTGTGTGCAATCAAAACAAATACTATACAAGTATAATGAAAACGTAACTTTGAATAGAAAGCAACCTCCGTTTTCATACCACCACCAGTAGCACACAGGTTTGCGCTTTGAGTTGTATGTTAGCTATGGCTCAAACTGAAGCAGACAATCACGGAAAAGCGAGTAAATTACAATTCGATTTGGCAATCAGAATTGAACCCAAAATATCCATCAAATATTCATTATTTAGCAGTAAGATAAAGGCACTCAAAGGCACATGCTTAACTTGATCGCTCACAAAATGCCTAAGAATCAAAGTTCGGCAATACACACACCATGAACTGTTCTAGAGATCAATAATAAAGATACTTAATCCTTGTGGCACAGAATGATCTCTTCCTTTGTATCATCAGAATTAGAATCAACAAAGGACCATAATGTTGAACTGAAAGGCACCACCAAAAAAAAAAAAAATAATCAAATTTGTGGCTGCCTTAAGTATCTAATGTCAACCCCTAAGTTCTTGTTTATAAAAAGAATGAAGAGCAGTGTTAAAATATATTATGCATGATCGCAGTACTTTCTGTACTGCAGAAGTCAGATTCAGTTATTTCCCCATAAGTTGCAGAATCCATTCTAATACAAATATCTTTCCTCCAACAATTTGGGCCGAACCAGAATTTATGAAGCGTTATTCACCATTATCTCAAGGGTGCAGTATTAGATTCCATAAAAACACATGCCTCATATAGCGTTTGTCATGGCTTGAGATGAAAGATTCTGAAGCTGTTTAAATTAGGTTTAGACTTAATAGATAAGTTAGAAGTTGAATCGTCTGCTTCATAGATGGTCACAAGCTTTGGCTTGCCCCGTCAATGTCGCGTTAAAGATCAAACCTCAGATGACATGCTCATAAGAAAAATTTCCAATATTACGTCAAAGATAACCTCCAACTTAAAATATTTGCTAAAAATTTACAATCAGAGACAGAATGCCTGTTTGACAACTAGAATTCAGCTTCTTCTGGACCTAATTCAGGCAAATGACAATAACAGAGTAGTCTTTGGCATATGCAATTGTCAGCGCCTGCTAGCATACACGAGAAGTATTTATACGTGTAATTTCACTCCTCTATCAGCACTATTAGCACTAGACCAAACCAATCTATCAACTCATCATAAATGAGAAGGAAGAGTATAGGTACTGATGTTAGTTTGTTCCCAGTTAAAACGGAAGCCCTGTCTAGCCTGGCTGTCTGCATGGTCTGCCACCTTTCAAGCAACAAGTCAGAGGGGAATATTTCGGGCAGAGAGGAAAAGAAGGATATAATAATAAAAGGAATCAATATATAACAACAATCTAGGGGAAATGGAGCTTTACGTTAAAAGCCCTCAATTCACTAAGGCCATCTCCAACCCATCGCACTAAAATGGTGTAAATTTTGCACCAAAATGGTGTAAAAGTCTCACCAAACAGTAATTCATCTCCAACCCACTGCATCATTTTTTGCACCAAAAAAAAATATTTTCAATATATTCCTTTTTTTCTACTTTTATATTATTATTTTTTATTCCCTACATTTTTTATCTATTTCAACAATTAACCCCACATATAAAATTTTATTTTTTTCACATATTTTTCAAACAAAATGATATATTATTTAAAAAATTAAACTAATAAAACAATAAAATATTATTTTATTAATTAAAATAACTTGATTGCTAAACTATTATATTTTTATTATTGATATTACTAAAATATTACATTTAAGAACACAACAGAAAATAAAATACAAGAGAATAATTAAATATTAACAACAATGTAAAAATTACAAATTCAATGTGCACTTAACTCTCTGAATTAGGGCATGTTTGGTTATTTCCTAAAAACCAAGAAATAGAAATATTATTTTCATCCAAAACATCACTCAACTCATCTCATCTCATTATTTAAAATCACTCACATCATCCAATAAGATGGTGACAACTCATCTCATCTCATTAACATTTTATTTTTACCCATTTCCTCCCAAAAAGTTAGGAAAACAATTTTCTTAAGTGTGGATCACATCATCCAATAATATAATGACAACTCATCTCATCTCATCTATTTTTTTTATTTTTAAGAATGAACAAAACAAAAAAACAACAACCTATTACAAGAAATAGGTTTCTTATAATTCATTTCCTTATTTTTTTCGCCAACCAAACAACATCAAAACAAGTTTTCTTATAAAATCACTCACATCATCCTATAATAAGGTGACAACTCATCTCATCTCATCTCCGTTTCTTTGATTTCCTTCTTTTTTTAGCAAACCAAACACTCCCAAAACAATTTTTCTTAGAAATTGTTTTCCATTTCTTTGATTTCCCACTTTTTTTAGGCAAACAAACAGAACGTTAGTGTATTCCTCCCATAGATGATCTATCAATGCATTACGAAGCGCAATATGGGCATCTTTATCCTTGATTTATCTGTAACGTGTAATAAATTGATTAAATCTTATAGTTTCATTTGCTATAATATCAAGTTATCAACTTCTGGTGTTGGTGCTTCCCTCACTTCTTAAATTGGTGCATAAAGATCATGTTCATCCTCGATATCATATTGTGCATAATAATGCATGCAGTCATTATGTCATGTAACACATGTTTTTTTTCCAAAAACGTGTTGATCCTGCCACAATTGCAAATCGTGATTGAAGAACTCCGAACGCACGTTCTACATCTTTTCTACATGCTTCATGTTTCATGGCAAAATATTTTTTCTTCCTACCTTATGGTTGTTGGATTGTTTGTACAATAGTAGTCCATTTTAGATATATACCATCAGCTAAATAATAACCCATATTATACTCTTTTCCTTAAATAACATAGTGAGCGGGAGGAGCAATACCTTGAGCTAGATTAGAGAAAAAATTAGATGACTCCAGCACATTAATATCACTATTGGTGCCTGACATACCAAAATATGCGTGTCATATCCAAAGATCATAATCTGCTACAGCTTCAAGGATAATAGTTGGTGACCCACTACGTCCCGCGTATTGTCCAGACTATGACATTGGGTAATTTTTTTATTTCCGATGCATACAATCAAGACTTCCTAACATTTCTGAAAAACCACGTTTTTTACCAATATAGAGTAGTCTAGCAATATCATTAGCATTAGGGGTTCGTAGATACCGCTCTGTGAATATCTCCACCAAAGCACGATAAAATTTTGTCATACTTTCAATTGCTATTGACTCACCTATTTTAACATATTCGTCCATAACATCAGCTGGTAGACCGTATGCCAACATGCGAAAAACAGCTGTTACTTTCTGTAACGATGATAATCTCATTCTACCAAATCCATCACTTCGTTGTTGGAAGCAATAGTCATGATCTTTCACTGCATCAACAATACGAAGGAACAAACTTCGAGACATCCGATATCGATGACGAAACATATTTTCACAAAAACGTGGATTATCGGCAAAGTAATCTAATGACCAAATTCTGATGCGCAGTTTTTTGATCGCGGTTGATCACTGTATGACCAGGAATCGAGCCACCATGGATCGGTTGGTAGTTTTGTTGACGTAAATTGTTAGCGAGGATCATATTGTTGTTAATGTACTCACGAATTACTTCTTCGGTTTCATCAATCTCTGCAATGATATTTTTCAGAAAATTAAGATGAAGATGATGATAAATATGATGGACCTCTAGCATCGAAATTCATTTTTAAAGTAAGAAAAGAATGGCTGAAGTATGTAGAAATGAAGAATAATAATTTTAACACAACAACGAATAATTGTGTGGAGGAACCTAATCTAGTATGCTATTTATAAAACTTTGCTTAGCTGTATACATTGAACAATGTGTAAAACTGAGCTGAGTTTAGGAAATAATTTCCAACTGTTATTAATTTGTCATAAAATTCAAATTTGCTTAGCTGTATACGTTGGATAATGTGTAAAACTGAGCTGATTTTAAAAAATAATTCCCACTCATATAAAGTTTTCACATAATTTAATGAATGCTTAGCTGTATACGTTGGACAATGTGTAAAGTTGAGCTGATTTCAGAAAATGATTCCCACTCATATAAAGTTTTCACACAATTCAATGAATGCTTAGCTGTATACGTTGGACAAAGAAAATGATTCCCACTCATATAAAGTTTTCACACAATTCAATGAATGCTTAGCTGTATACGTTGGACAATGTGTAAAGCTGCACACAATTCAATGAATGCTTAGCTGTATACGTTGGACAATGTGTAAAGCTGAGCTGATTTCAGAAAATGATTCTCACTCATATAAAGTTTTCACACAATTCAATGAATACTTAGTTGTATACGTTGGACAATGTGTAAAACTGAGCTGTTTGTACACAATGATTCAATTTTAAATGTTGACTACCGATAAATTCAAATTCAAATTCAAATTCAAATTCAAAAAAAAAAAACAAATTTGAATTGGCTATAATAACATTCACTAATTCTACTTCAAATCACCCAATTCGAAGTATTTCTTCAAAGTATTTATAATCTCCAAACCAACCGGTTTTTACAAAAAAAATATTTGTTCAATCTCTGGATACACGATTACTGAAGATGTGCTCCTTTGTCAAGTATTCATGGATATTTCTCAAGACCTTATTATCGGTGGAAACCAGTCTCAAGATGCATTTTGATCTCGTGTGGAGGACAGATACAATGAACTTCGAGATCAACATTTTGAGCTTCGTACGAGCCGACCAGTTCGTTCTCGAATGGAAATCATAAGTAATGAAGTAAGAAAATTGAATACGTGCTTGAGACAAGTAGAGAATCTGAATCCAAGTGGTGCTTCAGATGAAGATATTGTAAGTATTTTATTAATTATTTTTTGAAATTTATTATTATTGTTGAAATACATAACTTGATGTTCACTATAATTTACAGTTAGTTCGAGCAAAGATATTATTTATGCAAGAACCAAAGTATAAAAAATGTTTTAAATTTGATCATGTCTGCAATATGGTTAAAATTTTTGAAAAAATTAAAGATGATATCCCCACAGCAAGACGAGTTGGTCGAAGACAACCCCAAAGTGTGAACTTCGACTCGTCACAATCAGATAATCCCACTCCGGAATCTCCTATATCAACATCTCTTGAAATGTCATCCAGGCTTATTGAGGTGCGCGCCTCTGGCGCGCCCCGGGCGCGGGGCGCTTCGGTCTGGGGGAAATGCGCCTCGCACGCGAGGCGGGGCGCTGCACGCAGCGAGGCGCGCGCCTCACTCGCGCCTCGCGTGCGCCTCGTGCGCGCCTCACGTGCGCATCACACCTGCGTTATGTAACATACTATTTCTTCTATTTTTTTTAAATAATTTACATAATTACGTATTTATATCATGTAATATACTCTTTCTTACTAGTTGCTAATCTATTTTTATCTTTTCATGTTTAACCTATAAAAAGGAAACAATAATTAGTAATTTAGTATACTTGTTTGCTAATTGTAACTTCATTCTCTAATTAGCATGCTAACTAGCAAATTATAAACATGTAAATATGTAATTGTTACATTCATTCTTCATCTTTTCATGCTAAGTAGCAAATATCAATTAAGAATACTAACTAGAAAATTATGAACAGTCATGTTTGTTAATTATATTTCTTAGTCTTTTATGTGACAATTTATAAACATATGCTCATAATTGTTAATCACTTAATTTGATGATTTAAATACATGTTTCTTGTATCTTTTTTATTACTTTAAAAATTCAGTTAGCATAATTTGATGATTTAAGTTGATATTCTCATAATTTTGGATGTAGGTAACTAATATGTTACTTATATGTTTCTGTCTTATGATATTGGCAAATGTTAGTTTGAGTTATGCGCCTCAATTAGTGAGGCGCGCGCCTCGTTGTGCGCTTTGCGCATGGTGCGCGTAAGGGACCTTTGCGCCCCGCATTGCGCTTTGCGCCTCGATAACACTGATGTCATCATTTACTCCACCTGAACGACCTATTGGGGTAAAAAAAACCAAATTGAAAAGAAAAAAATTGATAATCATGAGTCAAGTATAGTGGACTCCATCGACACAAATAACAACCGACTTATAGACAGGTTAGACAAGAAGAGTTTGGACAGGTAAGTAGCATTTGATATCGAACAAGAAAAGATAGCCATGAAAAAAAGATAGAGATGTATGAAAAATTATAATGAAAGATTTGAATTTCATTGCTGATCCGGCCGTATGTGAGTACGTTCGAGCTCAACAAATTAAAATAATACAAAAAAGAAATCAACAAGAACAAGGACATGCTTCTAATTTTGGCAATTATTTCAATAATATGGACACTCTAGATCCGATCTATCAGATTATTGAGAGTTGCTTGTCCATATTATATAATTCTATATGTTTAGTTTATATTTTATTTTTTATTTTAATGCAGTTTTATATTATATATGTCAGTTTTTATATGTTATGTATTTCAGTTATGTAATTTATATTGGAATTATGTATCAGGATTGCTCTTTATATTTTTAATTTGTATTTCATAGGACTTTAATTATAATGTCTAGATTTTAATATTATAATTAATAATAATGCCTTTTAAATTTTAACATTATTTTTATTTTTAAAAGTAATTTATTTTGTCCAAATTATACAATTGGGGTAAAATTATAAAATTTAAATATTATTGGGGTTGTTTTATAAATTTAAATAAAACAGTTGGTCAAATTATAAATACATAAAATTAAAAGCTAAAAATAAAAAGTAAAAAAAACAGTAATGGAGTGAGAAACAGTGTGATGCCATATTTGGCGTCGCACTGTTCATATCCGCTAAAATGCCATAGAGAATGACGATGGATTGGAAGACCAACGCAGCGGCAAATGCACTGTTTGCGGCATTTTGCTGCTGCGTTGGAGATGGCCTAAAGAAGATGGCCTAAATACCAGACTAATCTACAGCGATAGAATTGAATTTTGTAAAAAATTGTCAAACAGATTTCAAAAAGACACAGAAGCTTTTCATTCCTACACTCAGAAGCAAATTTCAACCTAAGGAAAATCAGCCGGTGCATTAGTACATCAGTATTTACTAATTTAGGTGAAAGCAAAACACAGGAATCTACAGCAGAACAGTCAATCCAACAAAATTTCAGAACTTTGAGATAAATCCTATCTAATACAAAATTTATGTCAGTACACATACAGACACCTTCTAGTACTTTCTCCTTCACAAAGCTATCAATCATTTAGCTCTCATAAATATTCAGACAGAGTTCCATAAAAGTGTTAACTGTCATCTTGACCCTGAAGTTGGTTATTCATTGGCATCATACATATTCAAATGTCCTCTTTAATCTTTACGTCTGTGTCTCTTGCACGCATGTAAGAAACAAACACTGACACTGTCCAAACCAACAAATGGTCACCAATAACCAGCCTCTTGATAAAATACATATCAAGATAGCAATAAGTAAACAACAAAACAGACACTGTTTTAAAAAGCCTCCGCCTAGTCCGCCTAGGCGGTAACTAGACCACCTAGCTAGCAGCCAGCGTCTAGGCGGTACCTACGCTACCCACCTAGGTTTTGGGAGTGTTTAAGAAAGTATTGTCTGCTTACGTAGACTGTACCATTTAGACTTTGATCGTGATTTTTTGTGTTGTAGCCTCCATGTCCTCCAACCTCCTTCGAAATCCTTTAACCTCAAAATATGAACACCTCCACTGCCTCCTCAGACCTTCAGCAAAACTTCCTCGACCACCACTTAAGTGAAGAAAGAAATCCGCCTAGAACCAGTTCGGCATCTAAGTTTTCTCTAACATTGATATTTACTATAAATTATTGTAATTAAAAAATAAAAAATAAAACGTACTAGACTCTAGGCGTCGGGTCCAACGCCTAAGCCTCCTAGCGCTTTCTATAACCTTGTTAGTTATTATTTTAGTTATTTAGTATATAAGTATGCATGTCTTATTGTGGATCTAAGATTGCTACTTTAGCAAATTTATATGAATTTAATACATATTTTTATTAATTATTATAATTAAATAATTTTAAAAATAGTCAAACGCATAGGCGCCACCTAGGCATACGCCTAGGAGTCTAGGCACTAGGCACTGGCTCAAACGCTAGTCCGCCTAGCGCCTTCCGTAACATTGAAAACAGATGATAATCAACGTTATATATATTATCAAACTATTACTTACATATTATGAAAGGCGAACTCATCTCCATTGGCTGG